ATTTTCTGATTATGCTAATTTCAAATGAAAATTCCTGCCTTAAAATATTTTTTAATTTAATGGTCAGTATATTTTATAAAAATCATGTTAATTTATTTCATAGTTGACATTAATACCCGTCCTAATTTCTTTGTATATATTTTGTTATGCTTTAAAGGCCACCTGCTATAAAGTCATTAAATCTTAAATACCCCTTTTAAAAACTGGAATAATGTATTAAGGTCAAGTAATATCCCATAAAATGTATTTCTGCTAATATCAGTAATTATTTTAATTTTGCATCAGATTCATCACATCATTGAATTTCACACATGCAGCACCCCTAAATGTTAAAAATCTTAATATGCAATGTGTGCTTATTCAGGAGAGTAAACACAAAGCCCGCTATTAAGAAAGTGGTCAAGGACTCAAAAATCAGTTGAAAATTCTCTTTTCTGACACTGATTTTACAGCCCCGAGCAGTGGCATTTTGTGGAAGGTAAAATGTTCATGAGGATACACTGTAAACAGGGAACTCTGTAAAATCCTCCATTGCAACTCATGTTGTTGATTTTTACATTTTAAAAATCAAAGACTCTACAGCCTGAATGCAGGTATAAAACACGTTAGCGTCGTTGGTGGCTGTAGAGTGAGACTTAAACATGCATTTACTCAAGGCTGGGTCCTTGCTGCCTTGGCTAGAAGAGGGGAGATGTAGGCGCTGGGGGTAATGTTCGCCCACGGCTTTGAGCACAGCAAAACCAGCTCGCGGGCTCTGCTCCCACGTAGCCCCTTGCTGTCCGTCCGTCTGGGCGTTTGACGCAGATGACCAACTGCCTTTCTCACCCTCGCCTCCCATTCTGACCCCGCTGCCCCGCTGGTCTTGAGCTATCCTAGAGGCTCAACACCAACCACTCCCCAGTCCTAACATTCAGATAAAGCCAAATATCCGACTCGCACAACTGCAAGGAGCACGCACTTGGGGAGAAAACCACAAGCAATTACGCTTTAAACTTTCTGAGAAGCATTTTGGTATTTAAAAGAAAAAAAATCTTGTAAAAGCTAAGATTGTTTGTAGGAAAAGAAATCTTAAAATCTAGATTTATATGTTTTTTTTTAGAAGTCCCACTCCCCAATATTTAAATAAAAGAAAAAGAGAGAGAAATCCTTAAATCTAAAGGCTAACTTATTTTTGAATGGAAATACTACTGAGACCTTTGACACTGGGTAATAACGATCTCACTGCCAGACAGGATTGGTTAGTGGGGCAAAAACAAAAAAGGGGGGGAGGAAGGATGAATGTAGAAAAGTTTAAGGACAGTGATCTTTCTGTGGCCGTTCGGTAGCAGATGAGCACAATATAAAAAAAAAAAAAAAGACACCTGCTCTGACTTAGTGAAAGCATTTAACATGTGCATTTGGGGTACATTTATTTTTTTTGCTTTTTAAAAGAAATATAAAGGCCTTATTTGACATTTCCACTGAGAAGTGATTGTACCCTCCTATTGCACTGTTCATCCTGTGTCGGTCCCTGGTGTGCACAATGCAAACCCAGGGCTGGTTACATGCTGATAGTAGCCTCGCAGGAATCAAGCCTCCGCTGCTCCTCTGAGCCCCGCCCCCGGGCAAGAGGAGATGCCAGCAGGAAGGGCACGAGCACAACTTTGTGACTGCTGCCACCCCCACCCCCCGCCAGCCGCATCCCTGGGCTACACACGCACTGCTGAATGCATCCCTCTCTCCTTCCCGGTACAGTGAGAATGCACTGGGGTCGAGGAGGAAAATGGAGGGAACTTTGCAAGACTCACCAGCTTGGTCCCATATGTTTTCATTGTTAAAACCCCAAGTCCAGAGCCTTTCTTTGACTGAAGGAGAAGAGAGAGAACCAAGGTTTCATTCGGCACCAAACCTTGGAAACCGAGCCGGCTAGTTGTGATGAAGGTGACTAAAGTCAAAGTTGAGGGAATGGGTTTGGGTCTAATTTAGGAACCCTCATTAGAATCTGTCAGGCCTTTTAGTGGCCTACCTGGCATCTCTTGGATGGATATTAAGATCAGCCTTATCCGGGGTGCCCTTGGGAAAGTGCCCCGTGTGTGTTCTTCTGTCTCCCGTGCCCACTGCAGGCATCCTTGCACCTGCTGTAGCCCTTCCAATTCTGGAGACAAGCAGAAGCCACTGTCCCTTGGAGGCACTGGCCTTTCTGGAGGCCTGGGAATTGTAGGCTCATGGCCTCTGCCCAGCCCCCTGCCCCCAGTCCAAGGCCCCCTCCAGTCCAAACAGTCTCTTTGGGCACTTGGAGACTGGCCGCCCTATCTGTGCCAGCCAGAAAGCTGACCTCTTCCCCCTTGGTCAAAGTAGGTCCATTGCACATAACAAACCGAACCACGCTGACGGCACCGGCAACGCCGTCCTTCCCTTCACGTTTTTGTATGTTGCATGCGGTTGCATTCAAATGCCAAATAGCGATTAGGAGCCTACCATTCTGATCGACAAGCTGTACGGTCACTGTGTGACTCACTTTACTGTCTCTCTCCATGTGCTAGACGAATGAAGAATGCATACCAGTGTTTTAAAAGGTATTTTTATGTGTTTTTAAAAACTTTTTAAAATGAGCCTGACATGTCTGTTCAGCATTCCGAGACATGCCCATGTTATTTTTAAAATGTATGATTACTGATAATTTTGTTTAACTCAGTTGTGTTTAATTTATGTGCAATCTTTAATATATGTATGTATTCCCCGTTTCAACTATCATATTTTCTTTTATTACATCTATAATTTGATCTTGCTCTGATTATAATGCCAGTGAATGTTGCTGAATTCTTTGTATATGCAAATTGCAAGATCTAAAACTGATGCAAGGATAAATCTTTACTTTGACTTCCAGCCTGTGTCTCTTTCTTCCATGAAATCTCTTCATTGCATTCGAACTGTGCATCCTTTTAGACAAGACATTCATTAGGAGGTAGACATTGATTTATGTAGACAATTAATTTAGGACTTCTAACATCTAGCTCAGCCCTGGCAGGGAAACAGCCCGGACACTGGGCATGGTGGCCGGGGGTTGGCCCCAGCTCCCAGCTGCTCTTCAGAAGGCGTGACCCGCGTGTGCGGCACAGAGTAATAACTCGCCCTTCTGGGAGCCTGTGCTCCTACTAAAGTCCAAACAGGGATCTGTGCTCTGAGCAGTGGCTTCTCGGAGTCCCCAAGGAAGATGAGAGAATGCTTAAAGTCCACGGCCAGGTGGAATCGGAAAGTGCTTCCAACACTGCTTTGCCTCCTAAAATCTGAAACCCTGTTAGATCTCCCTTTGCACATCCGTATGTCTCTGGTCATCCCCAAATCTCTCTCTGCACCCCTCCACCTTCACTTCCTTCCCGGACCCACACACTGACATCCTCTTTCAGATATCCCAGGGCTAATGTGGAATTTAAACATATGCTTCTTATTATTTGTATTTATTTAATAAATTTTATGAGGCTTGTTATACTTGCTAAAATGGATGATTTCATAACCTTTTATATCCCTTTCCCCCAAATATCACCTGCTATGAAATGCTCTTTGCTCCTATGGACCATTTAATTAGTGGGTGTTCCTTACGGGTCTGTCTGCATGTCCCTTATCGGCTCTAGGTACAGCGGGACCTGGGATAAAGGGACTAGACAAGTGTAGGTGCAGACAGGGGAGGTTTGGGAGAGGGGTGGTAGGGGCAAGAATGGGCATCAGCCAGACAACCGGGGACCAGGTAACTGAACCAGTCTGACCGAGACCACAGCCTCAGAAAAGGAAGAAACACCAGGCCAGCCACAGGGGCACCCCCCCGCCCCATCAAATGGAAACATTCAAACATGACTTCACATGCTAATAACCTCGGACAGACTTGCAGGTTAGCGAGCAGGTTGGTCAAGGGCCAAAGGAGCTTAGCACCCGTCTAGGATTGAATGGCGTGGATTAGGAAGGCAGTGTATGCCTTCTACCAGGCTACACGGCATTTCCGAGCACTGAAGGACTCAAGGGTGAGATACATCTGAACCTTAGAGAATTAATATATGAAAACTTTGCATCTTAGAAGTGATGAAACATGTCCCCTCTGTGCAGTTGTGTGAATCGCCATTTTGTTCAACGTTCTGTCTTAGCATCTGGCCATGTCCACACATATGCAGCTTCCTCAGCTGCCTTTAAAGGGCTACTTCATATTCTCCGAACCTCACAAACTCTGATGGTCATTCCTCCATCATGGACATTGGCTTGCATCCTCCAGTGTCAGGACAAAAACACCTGCATGCATGTGCATTTGCTCTCGGGTACCAAGTACTTCTCGAGGAGAGCTTCCTAGGGGTGGAGTTCTGGGCTATACACATTTTAATATATATCATCTTAATTATAAATAGTAACTGCCAATTGCCAGAAGATGGCCTAACTCATTTACTGCTGGTGGTGCAGCTGGTGCCTGTTTGCCTAGCATCACTAACCCTGGATATGAGCAAACCTCTTAGTTTTTGCAAAACCTAGAAGCAAAAAAGTCATACATTTCAACTTGCATTTCCTTAACTCCCAGTGGGTCGAGCGTCTTTTCACACTTTTATTTCTTATATTTTATCTGTGAATCACCAATTCGGATTTTTTTATCCAGCTTCCAAATTTTTTATCCATTTCCAAAAAGTCACTTGACTTTTTCTCGTTGATTTATTGTGATTCTTTTTATCACAAGACACCCAACCCTTTGTTATTCAGATTAGAAATACTTCCCTTCAATACCTTATAGAAGATCGTCATTGATGGCTGTTTAAACCCCTCGTCCGGGAAACTTTGGGACTCACCAGCTTACAGACTGGGTTGGTGAGCATGAGGCTGATTCTGCCCAACAGCAGGGCCCTCTGTGGGGCCCAATAAACATACCAAATGGATCTTTCATTCGTATGAAATCATGATGGAGACATGAGGAGGGGCTTCGTGTGAACAAGTCACGGGCATTCTGTTCCTTTGTAAAGACCAACATTCATGAACTCCCAATTTACAGATTACTGGATGCTCATGTGCCAGTGCTGGAGACCCAAGACGGGGAGGACCATGACCATGCCCTCGGAAGCCTGGTCTCTCTGCACGGCACTGGAATCCGGGGAGGGGGTGGGGCTGGAACTGTGTCCAGGGAGACGAATCAGAGGCTCATCTAGAGGAAACTCCTAAATAGTATCCCAGCCACGTATCTTGACTCATTTTTAGCGAAGAGGTAGCCTTTGCTTTATGGAGTTGACATCTGTGATGTAGTCCCTCTGTGACAACCTGGGAAGCCTCCACCCGGTGAGTGCCGGGTAGTTGAGTCCCAGGTTCCCTGTCCTGACTTGTGTGTAGGATTGAGGGAGCCTTCCCTTCCTTTCTTCCTCAGCCCCTCCGGGTAGTGATAAATTCCAGACACACGCAGACGCCTGACAGCCTTGCTCCACCTCCCGACAGAACACCTCTTCCCTGGGACAAGCGCACTCACCACGGGCTCCCACCCCCAGGACTTGCTCGCACGTTCTCTCCCAGGATCTAGATCCTGCTCCGGCGGCCAAAAGACTGAGTCTGGCAGCCCTGGGTCAAATCCTTGTCCCTGGACCCACCGCTTCTGCCCAGCCTGATCAGATGTGGGTGGGGGCTCAGGGGGTCCCCTTCTCTACGTATGAGGGCTGTTCCAGCAGGGCTAATGCAACGGCTCACTGGTCGGGGAAAGAGTCGCGGTCCCACCACGTCGGAGTCATAGAGACGCAGACATGCTGGCAAACAGGGCCCTCTGACTCAGCCCCGGTCTGTGGCTCCCTGCTCTTGGCTCCTGTTTTTGCCTCCGTCTCCCCCGCCACCCTTCCTTTAATAAACAGCCTGTGGGTTTTAAAATGTCACCTCACAGACAGCTGGCTGGCCACGTCGTGTGGCTGGGGTCACTGGAACATGCTGGTGAACACCTGGTCTGCCCGTCGTGAAGGACAGAGCTTCGTGCTAGCAGACGAGGCCGACTCCCAGTTAGTGCGCTACTTTCCCCAGAGCCACGTGCCACGGATTAGCACAGGAGGCCTCCGGAGCAAGGGATGCGGAGCCACACCGGACCAGGAAACCGGGGGGCCGGGCTTCCCTGAGGAGCCTCACCAGAGCTGAGCTCAGGACTGGAGGTTACCGTCTATGAAGCAGGAAGGACGTGGGGAGACTCCCAGGCAGAGAAAAGTGCAGTGTGTGTGTGTGCGTGTGTGAGTACTGTTTGTATGTGTAGGTTTGTATGAGTGTGCGTGTGGGAATATGTTACTATGTTGTGTACCAGTGTGTATAGGAGTATGTGTGTAGGATTGTGTAGGAGTATGTGTAGAGTGTGTATGTGTGTGTGGGAGTGTCACTGAGTGTGTGTTTAGGAGTATGTGAGAGTGTGTATGTATGTTTGAGTGTGTGTAGGAATGTGTTACTAGGAGAGTGTATAGGAGTGTGCATGTAGGATTGTGCGTGTAGGAGTACGTGTTTCTGTGAGTGTGTGTGTACGTGTGTGACTAGGAGCGTGCACGTGTGTGTATGGGGAGGGGCTCTGGCCTAAAGGAAGTCAGCAGCTGCCCGGCACAGAGCACAGAAATACAGAAAGTCAGAGAGCCTGGCGGGCAGATCATGCAGAAGTGTGGAGGCACAAAACGTAAAAATAGTTTCTGTTCACTGAGAACTTTCTATCAGGTGGATGTTGCTCACTTGGAATCTGAGGCCCTTCAGAGAAGTTACCAAACCACAGGGCAAGTAGGTATTTCTTTCTCGCACCGTATTCTCAAACACAAGTTGACCTAGTTGGTTACGGTCTGATGCTTCCCCCCAAAATGCCAAGTGAAACGCGTGTCCTGTGGGCAGCTTTCATCATGAGCCTTCCTAACCCAGCATCTGCAGGCCTCTAAGGTGCTCTTACTATGCTCCTGAAATACCGTACCCTTTACGAAGGTGAGGAGATATGCTGATATACTGCAGTGAGGTTTTTGGTTAGAACTGAACCCTAAAGGGTTTCTTAATTAACCAGTATATCCCATTCCCCAGGCATGTGCTAATTGAAATTTTTCTATATGCAAGGTTCATAATTACTACGAAATCTGAAGTGTTGGCAGAGCAGCTTAATCATAGAAAAATCCCATTATTTTACATTTTCTTACATTTTGCTACCACAATGACACATTCATGACTCGCACCTTCAAATAAAGTGCCTTTTCTCATCGGGGCTGCACTTCCTAAACTTACTCCCCGTTCTTCTGCTCCCCAAGACCCCACCCCTCTTCTGGCCCAGTCCAACCATCACCTGCCCCGTGGAGCCTCTCTGGTGTCCCCTGCCGGCCCCACCGCAGCGCCCTCCCCCGAGCCGCCACTCTCCTGGATGATCTCAGACAACGCTGTTTGGAATGTGATTATGGCAGCCCCTTTGGCAAAAGCAACGACCACTGACCCAGAGACGCACCTAGATTCAGCCATTCATTCAGCAAATGTGTTTTATTATGTGCACCCGGCTCCATGCCCGACACACGGTATCAGAACAGACAGACGGGGCCGCTGCAGGGGACAGCTACCCTCTCCGGTCTTCCCTCCCCGCCTCACCCTGGCTAGGCAGGGGAGTGGGGAGGACTCGGACAGGTGACCGGACGGCAGGTGCGCTGTTTTCTAATTCAGGGGACACAGAAAGAGGAACAGGACGGAGTGGAACACGGAGACGGACATGCCCCGCAGGGAGCTGTCTCGGTCTGAGACCAGAGAGGCTGCGGCTTGCGTGGATGGCGCGGGAATCACCGTCTTTTCTGGAGGAGGGTTTGGGTGGTTTGCAGAACAAGGGGTGTGCTGGAAAGGAAGGCGGCTGACAGGGGCGGTCAGAGAAAGCACAGGTGGGAGCAGATTCGAGAGAGCTCGGAAAGGTCAAAGGAAAACGCGAGAAGCTAGGAGGGCCGTCACCGTTCAGAGACGAGTGGCACCCTGGCCGACGGCCCCGAGACCCAGTGCCGGATGCCCTCTCAGATGCGAGCAGTCCCAGGTCAGACAGAGCTGCTTGAAGCGGAAAAGGCAAGCCGCCAGTCAGCCCTTAAAGACAGCGGCCCCCACACCCTGCAGCTGGGGCCACCAGCCACCTCCAGGTCGCACGTGTACTCCCTTCCGTGGTACGGACCCCGGGGACGGGGCTGTCCCATGCAGGGGACCAACAGCTCTCGAGAGTGGACCCAACGTGTCCCCCATGGTAAAGAAGTAGCTGAGGAGTTTGTTCATCTGCCCATTCGTTCATGTTTCCTGAGTGCCCGCCCAGTGTTGGGACCCAGGGACGGAAGTCCCTGCTTTCACATTCGGACGTGGGACACGGACCCACCCAAAGCATTTACAGTGCAGCGTGGGAAGTGCACGCACACGGGACTGACAAGCACGGGCAGGGGTGATAAACGTCATGGCTTCATTTGGCCACATTAAAGGCCATACTTAGTCCCAACCCCTGCCCCCCACCGGTCCCCAAGCCAAATTTTACATTTTTATCACTTTATGAGACCAGCAGTCCTCTTCATGACCTCCACGTGGCCTTTGTGAATAGACCACTCGGGGACAGAAAATTCTAAGCTTCCTTTCCTTAAACACCCGGATAGCATTATTTACAAAATTCCCTTTTATATTTACCCAAATATTGTACTAGAATATATCATTAAACTGAACTTATTACTTTTTTTTTTTTTCCTTTTCCCCTTTTCAACTTCGTAGCTAAATATCTTCATTGTCCCGACGACTTCTGGTTCTTAATTTCTTGATGCCCACATTGTCGTTATCCTGTTTGGGAAGAAAAATAGAACTCTTAAGTAACTGAAAAGAACAATTTTTTGTAACCAAATCTGCAAAAACCCAAATCCTTACTAGGTGTGATGCAGGCCTTTAGTTTTAGGAAATTAATGTTAAGGTTGGAAATGAGTTTTGAGATGTGCTCTGTGAAAGTTGCTTTTGTTCTTTAAGATCTTGTTACTATAAATTTAAATAGGAAGCTTTGTAACTTATTTTTAAGTTAATACATAATAAAAAAAGAAAGAAAACTTCCACACAAATACACACTTTTTTTTCACTAATTAAAAAATACCATTCAAAAAAGTGAGTTCAAATGTATAAACAGGACAAGACGTTTTGGGTCTTCTAAGTAATCCCTGTGTATGAAGCGGACAATGTCTCCAAGCTCGGTGAGTGTGACCCCCGGCCGCACCTGCTCCCGAAGGAGCTAAGAGAAGGCTCATCCTTCTGGACAATCAGATAAAACAAGAGACCACCTGCCTTCTCAGAACCAGCGGGGTATCCGCTCCTAGTTTACACCCTCCCCTGACCCAACAGCCCATGAGAGGCAGACCCCACCAGGGACCTCACCAAGTGATCTTTCACACGTCACTGAGGGGAGGGAAAAGTCAGGAAAACAAAAGGCAAGAATTGAAAAAATCGAAGGCTGAGTTTGAAAGCAAATGACTGGAAATCCTTGAACACTGACGGAAGGCGTCCCCAGCTACGGTGCAGATGCTCATCCCATGACCGAAATATCAGGAAAAGGTCAAGGTGAAGACCCACACGCGGAGGTCGAGAGGATGGGCGCTACATGAGCTAATAAAGGGCTGGGTGGAGTCCACTCTGTTCTCGCTGACCACAGTCACCTGCTCTGTCCCTGCTCCCTCACAGCTCAAAGGGGGGCAGGGGTGCCCAATGACACCTCGGATGGTACCATCACCCCCACTCCAGCTCGCAGGAAACAGATCTCTTCTGCTTTTGCAGCCGGCACCGAACCAATGGTGAAGCAGGAAGGTCGCCCGCGCGGGTTAGAGTAGTAGCCCACAGCACCGGCCTCTCGGCTCGAAATGCACGCTAAGAGATTTATACCACTCCCAGGAAGGGAGCTGCGGAAGCCCGTTCTTTCAAACTCACAAAATCAAGTATTCCGCAGAAGGACACCGACCGAATTTAAGCACGCGCTGTGGATTTAGTCAGATGGCAGACGGCTCACGTGCTGCTCAAGGTGACATAACATTAGCAGGTGTCGCATACCACTCGCCGTGGGACACTTCTTGGAACTCCTGGGAAAGCCAGACAGGACCGCCTTTCTGCTTTAGTAAGTTCTGCTGAACTAATGGGGAAACTGAGGACCTTGACCTAGA